GAGGAGCATTAGACCCAAAGCCAGACATATTCCAGCTCTGCCGTTTACTCTCTGATACTGATCTCTCAGGGCAATTGTACGGGTGAGATAAAATAATGTGCACAGATGTGCTCTGTGAACTGTAAAGTTGTTTTGTGGTTGGTGATATGATATGTAGGCTCACGATAGCCTGCAGTCATTCTGTCCACGTAAGGTGAGGTTCAGCTTTTCCCTTTGGCCCAAGAAGTACAATTAGCTTTGGGAAATCTGGACCCAGTTGTCTGCTGTTTGCCCTTGTCTGGTAAGGGCAAGGAAGCCACTCCTTCTAGGCCAGGAAGAACTCTAAATCGCAATCAGTCCCATTAAGATATTCAATCCACTCTCTGTCCTCCAAGCAGACATACACCAAATCATTCCAAGTAGATGAGAATATATTATATTTATTTAAAACATCCAAAGAAGAAAATCAACAAGCACCTTTAGCAAGTCATCACATCATCACATCATTTAACATCTTTTGCTAATAAGCTGTTATTAAGCTAATAAACTAATAAGCTGCTCCATGATTAATCCTGGATATTACAGGCTACAATTTCAGTTTAACTCCATATCTCATGTACTGTTAATGAGGGGAGATGAAGGACATTTAGAAGTCTCCTTCCCTTGAAACATCCCCTTTCCCAAAACCTACATCCTGCCCAAGATGGAATGAAGAGGCAGGTCACATGTACTTAGTTATATGCAGCCCACTGTCAGGTGATGACTCTGCTCTCCTTGGGGCCTTAGGTATGCCCAGGATGCCCTGAGAGTTCTGCTGAATTGTTCTGGACTGCAACAGGTGGATACTGCTCTAGAGAAACAGAATTGCTGGACCCAGTTTTCCCAAGAGCTGTTTGACCATTCCGGGGTCCACCTTGTGGCCAAGTAAGAACAGGCATAGGGTTCTGCGTAGGGTTCTGAGTCTCCATTCCACCTTCTCCATCTTTCTTCAATTAAGCCATGTGGGAATACAGTCAATATCCACTCTGATATCCAAATCTCTCCTTAGGATCTGAATTGGCATTTGATTTCCACTTCTTTTCTTATTTTGAGGGATTTTTATTTTGGGATAATTTTCCCTTTCCTTACCTCTTACCTGATGATACAGATACCCAATTATCCTCCCTCCACAGAAGGTATGAAGATCTGGAGATGTGGAGAACTAGAGGGGAGTCTGCTTTTTCTTCCCTCTGCTGTTAGCTGATTCCCGCTCTGCGGGCATCAGACAGTTATAAATATGCTCCCACTTCAGAGGTCTGATGAAAACCTGTGCTCAATGAGACAAATAAACTTGGGAAAGTATAATGGAAGAGGACTTTTATTTTTCTTGTACTAGAAAGGGTCTACTTAACTCATTAGTGAATAGCAAGCTTCTGATTATAGGGATCAGATTTTCTGATCAAGAATCAGGATACATGGCCTTGACAACACAACAGAGCATTTGAAGTTGTGACTGACCCGGAAATACAGTCTATATGGTCTCTGAGCTCTTGGTGCTTTTAAAACAGCATCTTATTTGCGTACAGGTTTCAGGAACACATCTTACTTTGCAAAAGTATAGTACAGCTGCACCCTGCAGGTGGGTGCAGTGAAGAGTCCCTCTATCCTTAATACTTTTGGATCTTTTTACTCAAAGTGTGGTCCACAGACCAACAGCAACAGCGTCAACTGGTAGTTAAAAATACAGAGTCTCATGGCCCACTCCAAACCTACTGAATCAGAATCTGCACTTTAGCAAGATCCCTGGGTGATTTGCACACATGTTAAAGTGTGAGAAGCACTGGTTGGGAATCCCAACCTGGAGTCTTAAAATGAAATCACTGTTACATCATCCTTCCCAATCCTGTCATTATCGATCTGATCCAGGCCAACATGGCAGGACAACTGTGAGCCTGGCCACTGCCCAAGTGTGTTATGGAGAACGGCTTAGTGAATAAGAGCTCACCATCTCTTCCCGTGAATAACCCAAATAGACCCAAACCCTCTTCTTTGTTACATCATTCAAAGGAAGGACTTGGTTTAAAACCACAAAGGTGACCTGCGTGGCCATGTTGGATTGCCAAGATATTTATCTTCCACTATTTATCTTCTCCCCCTTTGGTCAGGCATTGATGGCAATATAGGGCATTCTGTCCTGTGGCATGGGATGGGAGAGCCAGGAAAGGGGAGTGACTTTAAGGAAAGACATTGTCAGTGATCCAAGTGTATATAATTCCTGAGAGTCTGTGCATAATTTATAATGGGGCTGCAGTTCACCTTGGATTAGGGAATATTAGAGAATATCTTTCTTATTATGTGAGTGGTATAAGATATGAGAATCATGATTCTCTCTTTACTACCATGAGAATTTACTGATCTAGAAAGTGTTTTCATCTTTTTTGCTAATTCAGTGCCTTATTCTCCTTTACAGAACTCTCAGTGAATATAACTTCCCACAGTTTCCAGAGACTTTGCATTATCTCTACAAGCTCTCGGTAGAAGGTCCTAGAAGGTCAGAAGACAGTGTCATCACAGTAATATTCCTCACCCAAGTGAGTTTTATTAGGAGACTGTGAACAACCGGGTTCCCATCCCCTTTCCTTATCCAAACTTAAATAGACACCCCAACCTTTTATCTCCCTCTCTGAATATTGATTCTTACCAAGAGTTAAGACAATGACAGATAACTGAAGTTGAGGGGGTGAGATGGAGATAGACCTGGACTATAGGAGGGTTGTCCCTTAGCCTGCTCTAGGATTTGGCTTTTGTCGTTTCCTAGAGGAGATGGATTTGCACAAACACTAATTATTTTTGTAGTATCAGTTCACATGTTTCTGCATGCTTGTTAAAGTATATCAAGGGATAATTGAGTTTACTAAAGATATTAACTATAATATCTGGGATCTAAATGATGCCTCAGACCGTCTGGAACAAAATAAGTAATGGGCCAGATAACTAGGTAAAATAAAGATGTGGAACTATTTTACTTTGTATGTGAATATTACATCATATATTGTAATGCCACACTAGAGTCAAGCAAATTGAGGATGCCCTTTGCTTGCCAAAGACATGTGGAAAGGTCTATAAATTGAAATTATCTGAGTCAAATCTAATTTTTCCTTAAAATAATATATAACAAGCAAGTATTGATCTAAGATGAGATGCCAAATATTTTCAAAAATTTGACATGATTTCAAGCATAGTCAACAAAACAGTTGCTAAACTATAAAAGACACACCTGTACACTATACTGTCCTTTTAAAGCTTTCAGTAGGATACATAAATCAGTTTAACTGAATATTGCAGTAGCAAATCACCAATGTTTTTCAAACTTACTTGATGCATTTGAATCTCTCATTATTTTTATTTTATTGTCATTTAATTATGTACAAACATTAAATAGGTCTAAATATGACATACATGATTGCTCCCATAAAATAATACATTCAAAGAAATTTACAAACTCATAGATTTATAGAAGCATCATTAATATGACTGATGATGTTTAATGAAACCCAATTGTCTCTCTCACCATGAATTTAGTGCTTACTGCTGTTGGAGATTGGCATCTATGTCCTTCCAAGAACTCAGCAATGACCACATTCTCCCGCCACTTTCTCTAACTGGAAATTCTGGGCAATCCTCAACTGTCCAGTTGACTGTGAGGTCTCTTGGCCTTTAGTTGTTCTGACCATACAATCTATGCATTTTACTTTATTTTGGTTTTATCAGCCAGCAGTACTTAAGATAGTACTATGGATGCTTATGCCATTTATTTTTATATATATATTTGTTATTTCTAATTTTCTACTAACATAAATAGCAATAGAGTTTACATCTTTGTGCCGAAATGTTCTTTCTTTTAGTATTTTAGATAATTTCCTGTTAATAGATTCCAAGAATCTGCAATAATACTTAAAGGGGTAAACTTTTTCAAGGCTGAGGATTTTTAATGCCAAGCTGATTTCTGGAAGGCAGTGCCCACCAATGCTCCCCACACAGTTTGTGGGAGTCCTCACCTACTGCACTCTCGCCACCAGTGAGGAACTTTCCCATTTGAGAGGGAGACGTGATGTCCTTGTGGGTGATTTGATTTGTCCTTAATTTTTAAATTTTTAGAGAGGTTGAACATTTAAAAAATATAATTATTCATAAATTAAAGTTCCGTATTCTGAACAATCTGATCTCTCCTTTGCCCATTTACCTATTATGGTCTTAGTGTTTTTCTCAATGAACTTTATGATTCTCTCTCTGTCGCTGTCTCTCCCCCTCTCTCACACACACATACACACACAAATTTGTGAAGGATATTAAGTGTATTATACATTTGATTATAATGCCTGTTGGGAATCAGTAACCAGTTTGTTGTTTTCCTTTTAATTTTATTTATGGAATGTGATTTGGTTTTTTTTTTGGTGAGGAAGTTTGGCCCTGAGCTAATATCTGTGCCAATCTTCCTCTATTTTGTATGTGGGACACCACCATAGCATGGCTTGACAAGCAGTGTGTAGGTTTGTGCCTGGGATCCAAACCCGCATACCCCAGGCAGCCGAAGTGGAGCACGTGAACTTAATCACTACGCCACCTGGCTGGCCCCTGGAATGTGATTATTTTTCACGAAAATTAAGCCTCAAAAAAACCTACCCTGGCCAAAGACTTGACAAATATTCATTTATATATGATATATGATATATATATGTATATATTTTTATATACATTTTTACATGTAATTTTGTTTCACATGAAGTTTATATCATATACCATGAAGTGAGGATCTAACTTTAGTTCTTGCTAAATAATTAACCACCTATCCCAGCTCATTTAATTAATAAGCCTTAAATTCTAGTAATACTACCTTTATTAATTTCATATATGTACGCACATACACACACACACAAACACACACACATCATAGGGTCTGTCTCAGGTTAATCTACCAGGTTCCATCTGTTTTTTCATTCCTGTGGAAGCATCACACTGTTGAATTATGGCAATTTGCAAGTAAATTTTAATATCTAGCAAAGAAACTTCCCTTCAACTTTCTTCTTTTCAAAATTTCTTTAGTCCTTCCTATATATTTGTTCTCCTAGTTAAATTTTAAAATAATTTTGCTAGGTTTAAATGAAAAACAACCTTTTGCTGAAATTATGATCACAATTACCTTAAAGCTATGAGCTTCTTATGAATATTTGATATTTTTATAATATTTTCACTTCTCTTTATTCAATATTTTGTCATTTTCATATAAATCTTACGTATTAATTTTGGAATTATTGAGTAGCTTGTATTATTTTAAATTGTTAGTGAGAATCTGGCCTTTTTCATTAGATTTTCAAGTTCATTAGTGCTGGATGTTCAGGAAAACCAGTTAAATTGTATTATCTTGAATTCAGCGACTTTCCTGTGCTCTTATAGTAATTCTAATAATATTTTAGTTGATTCTCTTGGGTTATCTAGTCCTATGATCCTGGTGTTTGAAAAATAAGCATGATATTGTTTCCTCTGTTCAAATCATTACTTTTATTTTCCTGAACCGTGTTTTTTGCCTTGGCCTTTACTTTACAGTTCCGTCTTATGAATAATCTGATCTTTCCCTGCCTATTTACCTTTTATGGTCTTAGAGTTTCTCTCAATGAATTGTATGATTTCCTCTCTGACTCTCTTTCTCCCTCCTACATACACACACACATACACACACACACAAACACAATTTGTGAAGGATATCTAATAACTTATGAACATAGTATTTTAGTAGTACATCCTTAGCAAGATATATTCTAAGGAGAAAATAATCTGTAAAGAAATACTCACTTTAACTCAGGAGGTTTATTGATATTGTATGTTGATATCATAATTTTAAGACTATGGTATGTATTATATAGCAGAAAGCAAATGAGTAAATATATTAATGCTATTAGGTACCAAGATTTTCCAGGTAACAGAAGACTGGGGAAAACATAAAACTGTAAAAAGTTAACATAAACTGTTATATTAGATTTGAATTGAATATATCAACATTGACAAAATAAATTCATGACTAAAAAAAAAAGTATTTTCCTAGCTCAGGTAAGTGTCAAAAAGATATGCTATTCCAAGAGCAATGAGTACACTCTAGTACCCATGTCTGATGGTTTCTGAACACCATTGCTCACTAAAAAGGAAACTTGTCTCTGAAGAATGGTTGATTTCAAGGGACAAGGAAGATATAAGATGAGCCTGGGACATCTAATTTTTTCACTAGCAAAGATGTGCTCAAAGGTAAATAGGTCAGGTCAAAAGGACACAAGAGTCAACTTAAAGAGACTCCTATTGGCCAAATTTGAGCATCAAAGAAATAGTAACTGCAAATAATTGTAATATGTTGAAAAAAATTTTTTAAATGTGTGAGTCCTTGGTGGTACTCAAAATTGGAGAGCTGGAAGAGAGAGAGACAGACAGACAGATGGATAGAGACAGAGACAGAGACGGATGCCAGCCGGTAAATGTAGAAGGAATGCTAGAAGTAGAAAATCACCATTTTGCAAGGCCCAATGTAATAACTGAATGAAGAAAAAATCATCAATGAATTTTAAAACCAATAAGACAAAAATTGTTGGAAAATAGAATATTCACATGGTACCAAGATATCACCCCACAGATTAGTTACTAAATATAAAGGGAAAATGTGCCTTTACATTTTGATGTGTAGAGATCACTCAAAAAGAATTGAACTTGATCCTATTTGGAAATCACACACTGATAACTATCAGTCTTCCATTTCCTAATCTATTTCAATCATCTAACTTTCTTTGCTTCATGACTGAAACGAAGCCCCAACATGTGTAATATGGAAAAGCTGCCCCAGAAGATTCTGGTGTGCATCCTTGGTTCAAGACCACCGGCAGAGAGTATGCAGTATCCCCTTTAAATTTTAATCTACTTCACGCTTTTTTCCTCAGTGCTCATTTTTCGTGTCCTTTTTAATATTATATTGGTCAAAATCTATATTAATGGTTTTCTCGTGCGTACCAAGCATTAGAGTTATTAATTCTACTTTTTTTGTTTACAATTCAATAATCTCTGCCTGTATTATTTTCTTACGCTAATTTTCTTTAACACTATTTTATTTTTTGTGGTATTTTATTTCTTGTAATTTCAGGAAATAAATAACTTCTTCATTTTTAACATTTCTTTTTGAGTAAAATCAAGTTATGCATTTACTTCCAACTACAGTGTAGATATTTATTGTATTATATAATCTTTTACTGTTTTTTGTTGTTTTGTAGGAATCCTTATTGTATGTTTGATTTCTTCTGTGGTTTATAATTTTAATGCACAAAATGGGGAAATGTTCTCTTAAATTCCAAGTACTTATTGGCTTTCTTGTTTTTCCATTTAAACTTTCTTCTTGGTTTCTTATTTTATTACATATGCCATGGTTTGTTTTTTTTTTAAGTGCTTTTGAAATGTTTTACTTTAGGGAAGTTGTTGGGTTTTTTTGATCTGGTATTTAATTTGCATGAAAGTTCTTTGGGATGTTGAAAAGAATGCTACATTCTCTCACTCCTTCCCTCCTTCCCTCTCACTCACTTTCCCTCCCTCTTGTTCTCTCTCACTCTCTATTTTTCTGTGTACTTGATCTGTCTTGGTGATATTTTAAATTCTTCCATGAAAATTAGTTTTTTATAAAACTGTCATAGTGTTTCTAAGAGATTTTACAAATATGTATATTTTGGCTGTTAGTTATTAGATGCATAAAGGCTCATGGTAATCACATCTTCATTTTGGGTATTAGCTGTTGAAGACTAAAACTTGTTAACCTGGCCTCCAGTCTTCCCTTCCCTTTCTTCCCATCACTCTGGCCTTCTTTCAGGTGCTCAAACACACCCTGCTTCATCTACCTCAGGGCCTTTGCACATGAGCTACCCGCCTTGGAGATATCTCTCCAAACACTTTATCTGGCTAATGCCAACTCTGCTTTCAAGTCCAAATCCAAATATCACTTTTCATTCTAAATTCAATCTATACTACACAATCTAAATTCAGTACTCCTTTAAATGTTCTTGTGGCATCTTGTAGCATTCCTTTTTAATACCGATCACAGTTAGCAGTTCTCTTTTCACTAGAGTAGTATAGTATAGTGTGTTATAGTATCATTGTACAGTATCAGTCTCTCCAGCTAGTCTATAAGCTCCAAGGTGATGGATGGAGACTGTTTTGCTCGCTACTGTATCCCCATTTACAAGGACGGTGCCTAGCTCATAGTAGGCATGACCTCCCAGCATATATAAACATTCATGGTCAAGGAACTCTCCCACCTGACTACAACCTGGGAGAGAGAGGTAAGTTAAATCTGGTCACTTGGTTTCCAACAACGGACAGAAAAAAGATAAATAAATAAATATATACATACATATAAATATATAACATACAAATAATAAATATATATATATATAAAACAAAGCATCTATTTCCTATTATGATTGCTACTTCTTCCTTCTATAAACACAGAAATATATGTAGGAATACGTATAAGTATTTGGAGTTTTAGTGTGACTTGTGTTCCAGTTCTCTTGAAAATGTCTTAATTTTTATAACTGAAGCAGAAATTGTACATTGGCCTTTACTCTACTTATGAACTTATTAACTGTGCTCTTTCAGCTTCTGAATAACTTCTTCAAGAACCCATTCCCGGAAGAATTTTTGATTCTCTTCAGAAACTGGGTCAAAGACTCCAATCCTACAGTGAGCGAGCTGAGCCTTCAGAAAATTGCTCACCTGGCACCAGTTATCAATGAGGTACGTGTGTGTGTGATTTGTCTCTGCCAGCACCATCGAAGTCATAGTCTGAGATTAGATATTATTCAATATCCTTACCAATAAAACATTGATATTTTTCAGTTTCTGTATAGCCAAAACAATATCAAAACCTGATACTTTATCAGTAAGGAGACTGGGTTGAGTGGAAGGGATGTGTTAAATCAGTTTAGTGGCTTTATCACCTCATTTACATTTTTCCCAGAAGATCATTCACTACACTCAGAATTTATCAGCATTGCCCAACACGAACACTGTTCTTATAGTCTAAACCACACACATATGCGTTAATTTCCCCTCCAGCGTACACACATGCATACACATTAGTTCCTATCTCAGAGCACTTGCTCAAGCTTTTTCTTCCACTCGTAACACTTTCTTCCTTCACTCATACATATTCACAATTTTCTCCCTTTTCAATGATCAGCTCAAGTCAAATTTCACTGAATATTCTGATCTCTAGCAGCCTCCTCACTTTCAGAGCCACACCAACTACGAGCAATTGTTTTTATAACATTTTGTATCAGCGGTTCTCTCCATATGATTCTTGAACCAGCAACATCTGCATCTCCTGGAAACATGCTAGAAACACAAATTGTCAGGCCCCACCCCAGGCCTGTTAGAATCAGAAATCCTGAAAGTGGGGCCCATCAATCAATCTGTGGTCTCAAAAGTCCTCCAGGTGATTCTAATACAGGTTAAACTTGAGAACCACTGTCTTATATTGTTTCCCACTGAGTCACATAAATACTTCTTGCCTTCCAGGAAGATTGAATCTAAGCATACCCCTATGTTTTGTAATTCTGTTGTAAATTCCAAAGTACTTTGCACTATGCTGAGAGTGCAGATGGTCCATAAATCATTGTTGATTTAACAACAAATCTTTGTTTATCTATTAAGCATAGTCTCTGAAAGCCTAAAGCCTGTCAAGGGACACCCATTTTGAATTTAGAATGAAATGAGCCGTGGTCTATTTGCTTTAAATAAATCATACAATTCAACGTACCTTTTTTTTAGTAAACAGCAAGTTATTTATTGCCTTGTCTAGCACTGTTCCCAATGTTATTAAGAACTGAAAGGGAGATTCTGTGCCAGGGTTATCTAAGAGAGGGAGAGAGAACTAGTGGAGAGTGATCTGAGCTGAGGTTTCACCTACTATGGGTAAAGACTCAACTTTCCAGCCAGACACAAGTGGCCTCTGGCTATTATTCTTGCAAATAGTATTTATTTATTTATTTTACTTCTTGTCTTTCCAGCCTTTCTTTCTCTTCTTTGGTGTCTCCTTTTCATGTTTTTCCTTGCCTTATATTCTTTGGCTCTGAACTGCAATTTACTCCTATGACCTGGCTCAGCAGCTCAGTGTCTCTCATGTGCAAACAGGTCACTGTTTAGAGGTCATACTGCCAGTGGTGTGTTGGTAAATGTTTAACAATCAGCTTCCTGGAAATAAGATCAATTTCCCTGGTGTAAATACTCCCACCATGGCTGATTTTAAGCTATCAAAGGGATGTCATTAAACATGGAGTTGGGAAGAGATGCACAATAGCACATCATTATTTAATGTTACCACCATACTGATACAATACATATAAATAACCTCAAGGGCATATAAGAGTAAAACATAGCAAAAGAAACAGGAAGTGGTAAGTTGTGAGTATTTACTACCACTGTTTTTATTTATTTCTAAATTCATAAAATTTAATTTTTAATAGTGACTCTTTTTAATGATCAGCTTACAAAAGTTTTGACGGTTTGAGAATTGACTCTTGTGAGCCAACTCCAGCACACTGCGCAGAGGTGTGCACACGAAATGCTGGCTCAAGGCTCCTTCTGGTTCCAAAACCCCACCATTGTTTTCCTTTTATATGTAGATAGAAAATGTCTGCAGCTTATTAACATCCATCCTGGATGCCTTCCTCTCCAAAGACAAGACTGTTACAATTCAGGCCTTGCTCACCGTTCGAAAACTTTTAGACAAACTGGACAAGGTGACCTACTCCTCTTTGTGTACCAGAATTGCTTCCAGCTACTGTCCTCTGATGGATCATGTGAGTTACACAGTAAGATGTGTGCGATCACTAGGTTTTATAGTTCAGCTGAAGCCCCAGCTGAGGCAATGGCATTACGTCCCAGAATGAGGCAACAGAAGATAGTCATTTTGGGCAGGGCCACCATTTCTTTTCCAGAGATAACAAAATTAGTCAGATAAGCACTGTCTTTTTTTTTTTTTTTACGAGAACCTGGAAAAGTCTACCTATAACAAAGGAGAATCAAAGAACAGCCTCCGTCCTTGGATGAAAGAGGAATGGGAGCTTAGTGGCTATATACTGGTTAACTCTGGATCTGAACTGACTGGGTTCAAATTCCCATTCTGCCTCTTACTAGCTGTGAAATCTTGAGCAAGTGGTTCAGTATCTTAGTGCATCAGTCTCCCCATCTGTAAAATAGAGACAGTAGCAGGTGTATCATGTGGGTTAGAAATAACGTATGTAATGCCTCAAACGTGTTTGTTATTATCATATAAAAGTATAATTAAAAAGTATCTCATCAGAAAGTTGTGCATTTTGAAAATTCTCATTTTGTGTGGTAATAAGTGTGTTCCAGAAAAGTTAGATGACAGTAATATATTTTAATAAGCAAGAACACGTCAGTATGCCATGGGGAATCTATTTATTTTTATTTTTAAAGATTTCTATAATAAATTGTTTGTGAACCAGAGAATTATTTCTTAGTAATTTATCTTGCCAAAATTTATGTTGTTAGTTATTTAGATTTCAATGACAGGCACAAAATTATTAAATTATAGAAAGTAAACAATTTAGTGGCAAAAATTATTTTCATAAGCATAATAATAATAATAGTAATAATAATATTGGCTAAAATTTATTGAGCATTTACTGTGTACGAGGCACCATTGTAAGGGATTTACATGCACTATCTCATATAATTCTCTAAACAACTCTTTTACTATTATCCAGTTTATATATAAGGAAACTGAGGCAAAGAGAAGTGAATATTTGGCCAAATTCGCACACTAATAAGTAGTTGGAATGTCCATGTAGAAAGTTATTTTCAAAATGAAATCATTTGGCGGGGGAAAGCCCCACTAACTAAATAAATAATCAAACCAAACCAAATGCAAAGAAGAAAATCAGAGAGAATAGAAAGTTATCAAGTATCAATTTACCCTACGTCATTCCTTGGAGGCAGAATATTTGAAAAATGTTAGGATATTAATGAAGCTATGTTCCTATGTTTCTCAACATTAAAAGAAAAAAAAAAAACTTTCATCAAGTTTGCTAAACCTATGGGGGACAAAACTGGGATTTCAATAGGTATGGGGCACTCCAGAGCTCTTTCCACTGGTCCATACAGCCTTTCAATGGTTGGCACATCTTCTTGGAGTCCGAGAATACAAACAGGTAGCTGACAGATCAAAGCAACTTGCAAGTGTGTTAAGTTTAGCTCTCAAACAGTATAAGTCCGATATTCTTAAACTGGAATATTTCTCACAAAAATCTGAATTGTGAGTGAAATGTCAGAAGATCTGGGAATACTGGAGCCCACAAACCCACTTGGCAACAGTCTGCGGGAGCTGAGTGCCCTCTCTGAGAAAGACCAGGGCTCTCCTTTGTCCCAGTCTCCATCGTCTCCCTGCTGTCCTTGAATGCCACTCGCTTCACTCATTTACATCACCTATCCAGCCCCTGTGACATATGATTTGACTATCACTGCTTTAGGTTTAGGCTTTGATCCCCATAATTACATCTGAAAAGAACATATGAAACCATATTAGCCATTTATATTTTGTTGGGAATATAGTTGATATATTCCTGAGAACAGAAAGGAAGAGATAAAAAAAAATCATAAACATTTCTTAAAAACTGGAAGGTGATATTATATTTTTAAAAATTAACTTCTTCCTCTGACAATTTTTCAGAAGAAGAAATTGCAGTTTTTCTCTTCTAGAATCTTTATAATCCAATCAACTTCCTATTTGGCATCAGCAAGCCCTTGAAAACCTGGTTCTATGCCAGTATGCAAAGAGCTCCCATTGGTATTCACTGGCAACTCTGCAAAGGCCTCCAGCATTTGAATACAGCATGGTTACTTTAAAGTATCTTTGTAGAAATTATCCTCAAGTTATACAGATTATTCCAGTTTATATTTTTAAGACATTGTTAAATACCGTCTTCCTAAATTTAAGAAACTTACTTTCACAGGGGATTTTTTTTAGTGCAATTTGAATTTTGGTAAACAAATCTTATTTTAAAATCAAAAGAAGAACTGACCAGTTAGACGACCCAATGTGGATCTTTTCTAAAAATAAATGATAATAATTTCATAAATATGTGCATATGTACATATACATATATAGTATATATGCACAGATAGTATATATACATATAAATATATCTAAACATATATATGAAAAAGTGATATATATATATATATATGTATCTCCCACTGCTTAAAGAAAGAAACCCCAGTAATATCCTCAAATGAGGCCGTTTTCTGTGTGCATATTCCAGAGTAACGGAGAGATTCGGAGTATGGCCATTCAACACTTTGGTGAATTGCTCAGGGACATGAGTCAGTACACATGGTTGCTGAATGATGTGATTCTTCGAGTCTTGGTGCCCCTGATCCTGTTTTTGGAGGATACAGAGACAAAAGTAGTTAAAGTAAGTCCTGTGATCCTGTGTTTCTTAGTTTTGCAGAGAACCACAGTGTTTCATGTAACACTGGATAAACGGATCCTCATTGACCTCTTTTCTACTTCACAGGCATGTAAATACACATTAGAAATCTGTGTCTCAGAATTAGGTTGGTCAAAACCATATTCACTCACTGAAGAGAATTACAATTTTGAGCTGCTGGTGATCAACATCTGTAACAGTCTCGTAAGTGACCCCTCAGTGTTTGCTACCATAAGAGTTATAGGAAGAACTTTAAAGGACACCCAAAGTGATGGAAAGTGTGCTGGGGACAAGAGCGGGTCTTGGAGAAGGAATGTGAAGAAAAGATAATAAATGAGTGATTACATCTAGGGCTTAGGACCAGAGAAAGTTAAAGTTTTCCACTTCCTTTTCCTCAAAAGAAAAATTGGAATTACTTTGTCACCACCTGATGAGCTGGTCCTCTGAAAACCAGCATGAACTGCAGTGATAGATAAGTGGTGATGGAAGAATGCTAACCAAAGGCTGGAAACACAAAGTTGGGCTTGGGAATCATATAATAAATTGAATAATATGTGCAAGCGGAAGGGTAAAGTTCATACATAGAAGTCCCCAGGTTTTAAATCAGTCCAGATTTGGTATAAGCAACCAAGTTCTTTTCTCTGGAAGCCTCTCTGGAAGGAGCAAATGTGCTTTTTCAACAATTGAGAGAGTATTTTTTTTTCCTTTTTATTCTCAGCGTCTTTCTCATGGAAGGTACATTAGAGATTTGATATCTGATACCTTAGGATTCTTGAAGAGCTCCCGGGCACATCTGAGGAGAACATCAGTTATTTTAATAGGTAAATAAAATTCAATTCTCGTTTCCTAATTTACCTTAACATGTGCAGAATAGGCTAGCAGCTGGAATTCCTCCTTGAAGAAACGATCATTGTCTTTGTTTGTGATGGACAGCACTTGTGATGGTGACATCTGTGATGCACAGAGGTCAACATGTGTGACGAGGAGAGGGTTCTATGTTATAAGACACAGTGAGCACAGCCGTGTGATTAAATTATTATACAAAGTGTAATCAACAGGACGAATTTCGCAATTTAAGGCGGTGGCAAACCACTACTAACTATTCCCCTTCACCGCTTAAAAATCACTAAACATAAGAATAATGAGAATAATAAAAATAATATTAAAATATACAAACACCATCTGCAGCAAAACTTGGGACATCTGTAACCACAAACTACAATAGATGAGGAAGAGCTATGAAATCTAGTAAAGTTAAAAAAATATGTAGAAGTAGGGGGAGTGCAGGAAGGTTCTAAAAGAAGACAACTGAAGTTTTTGATCTTTGACAAACCAGACCAGTTTTTTCCCACTAGATTCTTACCATGGAGATCAAAACTAATAATCTTTTATTTGGAATAATCGCACGTGAGTTCCCAACTTGGTAGTAGGATCTTCCCTTGACCGTATTTGGCATCATGGAGCATCAAGAAATGAGGAAATACATCGTCCCATCATACCTCTAGAGAGGAGTCTGTCAGTTAGTCAGGGTAGAAGACAAACTGAATTATGATCAGCACTAGATCTGTGTTGATCAGAGAGGAGTATAGGAAGACACACACACACAGAGTCACAGAAAACCTAGTGTCATAAGAACTTTATTTCAAACTCGAAAGAATTCCTGCTATCTTGAATTCTACCCTGGAACTTTCCACAAACGGTCCTGTGTATATAATAGTGCAACATCCAAAAATAAGTAATCAAAAAGGAAATGGCATTATCTTTCTACAGAGGTATTTCCGGGGGAAATGAGAGGAAAGAAAAACAAATTTAGAAAATGTTTCTACAGAGCAGATGAAGTTCATGATAAATATTTCTGTGAATCCAAAGCTTTTTGAAATAAAGATCTAAAGTATAGATAAGAGCACAGAGATCATATGACAAGATAGTGGAAGCACATGAAAAATAAGCTTTCAAGTATAGGGGGAAAGTGTAAGAAAAAAATATATAGCCCTTAGAAAAACTACATTGCTATCAGCAGAAAAGAAAATACATATTGTTGATAACCCAGTAAGAGACAAGGAGTACAGTGCTGAGAAATGCTAGCAAAATAAAATGAAAATCAGCAAGAAATGGTCTGAAAAATTAGGGAGCAATGAGAGATATAGATGATAGATGAAAGAAATGCAAATATGCATAAATGATATGCCTAAAGAAGAAAAATATACAATTAGAACAGAAAAATTATGCAAAGATATAATTTAAGAAATAAAAAAGACCTGATTAAGTGTACTGAGATGGTAAATAATTTTTCAAGAAATATTTTATATAGACATTTCCTAATACAGTTATGGAAGTTTAGAGTTAAAGAATTCTTTGAGCATTTAAGCAAAAAAAGAAGTCACCTTTAAGTTACAAAATAAATAACTCTGGCATTAGATTTGTCCACTTCAGTATGAAATTCTAAAATATTGTAGACTAGTGCCTACAAAATCATTAAGTGGAAAGAAAATTGTGACTGAAGAATTTTATAATCAGCAAAATTATATCCAACTATGATGATAATAGGAAAACATTTTCAAAAACACAAGAACTCAGGATGAACCCTTCTTGAAGATATCGTTGAAGGAAGGAATTCAGCCAACTAAAGAATGAAAGGATAAACTACTGCAAAAGGACATGCAATATCTACTTAACTGTGAACTTCCATTGCCCAATCCATTCTCCACCATTTTTTGTTTTTCTCTGTGCCTTTAGAAACTGACCTCTATGGTCTACACCTCCCAAGCTCCCCTGCCGGCTTGCTTCCAGGTTGGTAATTCATTTAATGGACGAGAGTATGCTCAATATTCAGTAATCATTGTGACAGTGCTATTCACGAACAAACTATCCCATCTAGAAAGCCCACTGAAAACTTGTTGAGAAATACTGATTTCAGTGTTCACTGAGTTCACTGAGTTCAGTGAAATTGTAATAAAAATACCAACAGATGATTTTATAGATCTTGACAAGTTGATTCCAAATGTATGGGGAAGAGCAAAAGGCCAGGATACTCCTGAAGAAAAAAATGTGGGCTGCTAGTCCAACGGTTATAAAGATTTATTATAAAGTTATAGAATTTTAGATAGTCTGTTACTTACCCAAGGAAAGACAAACAGACCCATGAAACAGAATAGAAAGTGTAGAAACAGATCGACACATATACAGAGACCTAATGTATAAATCATAACTGGCAGTGTCTATCAGATCAGAAATGATGGGCTGTCCAATAAAAGGTGCTAAGACAATTGAGAATACACACACACAAATTCCTACCTGACACTCTACACAAAAATTAATTCTAGATGTATCAAGCCATGTAAATGTGAAGCACGTACCTTTAAAAACTTTCAGAAGAAAATGTAGGATAATATCTTTGTAACCAAAGGTAAGCAAAATATTTCTAAAGACAAAAACATATGAAAATCAAGTAACACACTGGGAGAAAATATTTGCAATACATATAATAAAACATATTAATATCCCAAGTATATTAAGTATAATAACTTAATAAGAAAAAGACAAAAATTCTATAGAACAAAAAATAAAAAGAGCAAGAATAAATAAAAATGAAAACCATGCAAAGAAATTTCACAGAAGGGAAAACATGAATGCAAATAACCATGTGAGAAGATGCTCAAGATATAAATAATGAAAGGCATGCAAATTGAAACAGCAATAACATTCCATTTCACAATCAACAGAGTGGCAAAATTTTTTTTAAATATAGGAAAAGAAAAACTGATGTTAAAATTGAAAGTTTCTCTTTATCAAAAGACACCATTATCCGAAAGGAAAGGTAACCACCAAATGGAAGTTGTTTATAATACATGTATCTAACAAAAAAATCATATCAGGATACGTAAAGAACTTATATAAATCAATAAGAAAAAGACCACCTAATAGAAAAATGGATGATGACTTATACTTCTTAGAAAAGGATATCCAAATGACCAACAAACATATGAAAAGATATTTGACTTCATTAGTCATCAGGAAAATGCAAATTAGAACCACAATAAGATACCATTATACATCCAATGGAATGTCTAAAATGAAAAAGATTGACAATACTAAGTGTTATTAAGGATATGGAACAATCAGAACTCTCTTACGTGCTGTTGGAAGTGAAAATTCGTAAACCACTTTGGAAAACTGTTCAGCTGTACCTGTTAAAACTGAACACATCCGTATCCTGTAACTCAGGAATTCTGTATAAAAGAAATACATACGTGTTCACAAAAGAAATATGCACTAGAATATTCAAAGAAGCACTATTAGTTATAACTCAATCCTGCAAGTCAACAGTTAGATGAATAAATTGTGGTAGATTCACACAATGAAATACTATCTAGCAATGAAAAAGAAAAAATCTATAACTACATATGGCAAAGTGGATAAACCTTACAGTGTTGAGTAACAGAAGCCAGTCACAAAAAGAGTACGTACTGTATGATTCCATTGATATAAAATACAAAAACAGCTAGAACTAACCAATGGTATTAGTACTACAGATAATGTTTACACTTGTGGAGACTGAAAGGGAGCCCAAGAGGGGATTTTTGGGTTGTGTCTTGTGCCTGTGTCTTGACCTTGGATGTATTAGCATTTGAAAATTCCATAAGCTGTACATTTATGATACATGCCCTTATGATATGTATGTTATTAAATTTAAAAAGTAAAATTATATATAGACATACACAGATATATCATAGGGTTGAAAAAAATGTGGAGCAATGGGAATTTTTGCTGGTAATAGTGGAAGCAGAAATTGATACAAACATTTAGAAAATAATTTTATGTTATCTTGTAAGCTGAAGTTGAGTATAATGTCCCTATGACCCAGAAATACCAATTTTAGGTATACACCTTAGAGAAACTCCTACATAGGTGTACTTGGAGACATGTAAAAGAAAGTTCACTGCAGTATTATTTGTAACAACAGAAAAACTGGAAATGATCCAAATGTCCATCACAAGTAGGGTAGGTAAATAATTGTTGTATGATCACAAACGAAACATTGGATAGCAAGGAAATTAAAAAAAAAACAAAACACAAAAATGAACTATAACTCCACTCACCAAAATAGAATACCAAAAACCAAACATTGAATGAAAAAAAAGAATACATGCCACTTATATAAAGGTCAAAGCAGACACATCTATAAGTACATTACTTGGAAATTCATATTAATTTGCTAGAAAATGGTATGAAAAATCAAGGAAATGGTGAACACAAAATTCAGCATAATGGTTTACCTGGAAGGAGGAGGAAGGAAGAAAAATGTGTTTAAGGAAGGACATAAAAAGCACCGGTATTTTCTATTTCTTAAGCCTATAGCAGGGCACATGAATGTTCCATTTATTACAACTTTTTTAAATGTACAACTATTATATATACCTTTTTGTATTTATTATAGTTTTTATTTAAAACTTATGCTAATCTGAAAAATCGATAACTTTCCTATACAAAAAACAACATGCATCAGAAAACACAGTGGAAGAAAAGGTTTCATTTACAATGGGTGAAAAATAAAGAAGGGAGGGAAGAATGAGGAAGAGGAGGAGGAAGGAAGAAAGGAGAAAGGAAAGAAGAAGGGAGGGAGGAAGAGAGGTCTGTGGAGGGGGGAAGAGTCCCATAGGGAGGGAGGGAGCGAGGGAAATGAGAGAGGGAGGGAGGGAGGAAGGAAGGAAGGAAAGAAGACAGGAAAGAAAGAAGGAAGGAAGGACAGATGGAAGGAGGAGGGGAGATCTAAAAAAAACTTTAAAATATATGCAATATTTCTATGAGGAAAACTTGCAAA